CGAATGTAAGGTTCGACCGATTTGATGGTCCGAATAATGGAACCACATGTTTCTTCCCCAAGTTGAAATCTGGCAGTGAATGGAAGTGAGTCGCGCATCAATTCCGCCAAATGAAACCGTGTGACTCGCTGGAAAACACTGCAGAGCTACAAAGCCGCCCCAAGAATGGAGCAGGTTGGAAGCGGAAAAGAAGGCTTCCACAAGTTCGGAGAAATGGACAGCTGGGGTGCTGCTCCCCATAGCTGTCTCAATGCAAATCGTCGCCGAAGCGACGGTTTCCAAGGAGAAGTCAATGTAGCAGGAGGCTTCCAGCGACTCAAATAATCTGCCTCAACATTTTGTTCACCTGGTATATGCTGAACATCCAAATGTGTACTAGTAAAACTGGAAAGAAGTGCCAACCTCTGTATGAATGCAGCGAATGGCCAGGAAGTCGTGAACATCTTATTGGATGCAGACTCTGCCCCCGAGTTGTCACACCATGTGCGAAGCTTGATGGAAAGTTTGCACATGAGATGTAATGTACTGAGTAACCAGACGAGTGCAATTTGACCAAGGCACTCATAGCAGCTGATATCTTTGTGAGCCTCAGCTTTCAAAGGTAAATCCGCAAATGCAAAGTCCGAGACAGAAAAGCATTCCGAGAACCAGTACTCCCCGGAGGGAAGGGAAATGTAACCACCAACAGCAAATGTAGAGCCATTGCCCATGGCATCTGCAGCCGCCTCCACTGACAAAGCTTGCTGAGGGCGAAGGCTTCGCCAAAGAGGTGGAAGCTTGGCCCATCCAAGCCAGAATTGTAAAAGGCCCCTGGAATCATGGGACAATGCACGACGTTTCGAGGCAGGGTCAGAAATGCGAAGCCAAATGTCCTTGTCGCCCAGACTACAGTTCAGCAGCTCTTTCTTGGAATGTACTTTTCGATGGCGAACTGCCAAAACCCGGCTGCCAATGGACATGGCACCGCCCGGTGGTAGCTTTACCAAATGCAGAGTATTGCTGAGGCACTCAACCAAGCATTGCCAGTCGGACTGCCTGAGACTGAAGTTTGTGGCCCTCGGTGAATGTAGATCTTGATATAATGCTCGCAGCCAAGGCTTAGCCAAAGGAAACAGTTTAAATAACCATTGCCACATACCGCAAATTTTGCTTAGTGTCTGACGATCTGTGTATTTGCCACGCAGGGCCAAGGAAATGTACTCGACCGATTTCTCCAATTTGTCTGTAGGAATGTAGACACATCCCATCTCGAAATCTAATTCCCAACCAATCCACTTGATGTGGCATCCGAATTGTAGCTTTTTCCAAGATAATGGAATGGAAAAAGCTCCGCAGAAGCACAAGGTAATGCAAAGACTCATCTCTGCAACTGTAGCAGCTTGATAGCCCAGGAAATCATCAACGTACAAGGCCAGAAAGTGTGAAATGTAGATGAGCCGATGTAGAGCTCGCACAAAGAATGCACCGAGACGAGAAAACCAAAATGCACTGAAGGCTGCCCCAAATGGACAGACTTTGTAGAAGAAGAACTTCTGGCCCACTCTGATGCCAAGCAGGCCCTGCTCAGACTCCCTCACTCGAATGGACTTGTGAGCAGATTTCACATCAATGGACCATGCTGCAACAGGTTCGTGGCGACCTCGCAATGGCCACGAGCACTGAACTGACTGCAAGGTGGGTAAAGAAGTCCTTTCCGGAATGAGACAGGCAGAATTCGTGCCGCATATGGAAGAGTCCACGACGAGTCGTGGCTTACGACCTGCAGAATGGACTATGTTAAGTTTCCCGACCGCCACATTGGGCCATATCTTTCTGGCGTCCTCCAAAGAATCGATGCAACGAAGCCAGCCACTATCCACCTCGATTTGAACCAGTTCCTCAAGGAGGACTGGATCAGCTTCTGCTCCTTGCCAATTTTCTAATGAAATGGAAAGAGAATCTTCGTCCACAGAGCGATCTGAAGGTGCAAAACACCCCGACAATGGAATATCTCGTTTAAAGCCGGTTGGAACACCTTGCAGCAATGCACCAAAGAGTGAAATGTCACAATCGTGCAAGGCTAAGGAAAGCGCCGACAATGCATTGAGGCAGTAAGGTTGGTCCGGTGCAATGGACCAATCCACCAGAGCACTGCCCTGTGACTGTAGCCACTCGCCAAAAATGCCCTGCAATGTAGAAATGTCCTCGGATGAAAACAGGCTGTGCTCTTCTGGTGACAAAAGTCGTGACCTAATTCTGGATGGAAGATGCGACGTCCCACAGAAAGACATGAGGGAGCGACGAAGCTCTCGCATGACATCCTTGCCTTCTCGTTCTTTGCCACTCCAATCAGGACGACTATGCAAACCCCCACCATCCACCCATGCATGTGGTGGTTCATCAACTGGTTTGCATGGAATGGAGTTCCAGGCATCTTGAACAGAGAATGCAACCCCAGGCACTCCTGTCACACCTTCAGCTGACATGAAAAGTTTACCAAAGGCCTCAACCAATGAATCCGGGTAGACTGCAGGTCCTGGACGATGCATGCAATGTTTGCAAGTGCATACCTGACCCAGAAAGGCGAATGCTTCTGAGGAGGAGACCATAATCCACGGTTGACCCGCGGAGCCCTGGAATGCACATGGTGGAATTTGCACCACATGACGAAAACCAGTTGATACACAGTGAATGAAAAGGGGATCATACCAGCATCTGTCCCAGGCTGAAATGTCCAAATGAACAGTTGTCCCACAAGAAAATGCAAGCTTGCAGAGCTGTAGCACCCAAACATTGTGCTCAGCAGGCCACTTGTCGGAGAAACGAATGAACACAGTAGAGAAGACACCCTCTGCTGCACAGCGAATGATTCGCTTTCGCAATGAAACATCCAGTAAGTCAGCAACTGTAATCAAGGGCACTGACTGTGAAGACAACTTGGCCTTAGTAGAGGGCTCAATAGAGCCAAGCCACAAGCAGAATTTAGATGGAACCACTGAAGTCTCCGACTGCTGAATGGATGGCACCTCAGGCGATGGCAATGCAGCAAGTTTGGGAAGGGGGAAACCCCATGCACGAAGAGCCTGAACATCAGATTCCTTCATTTTGTCGAGGTTTCGACAAGTGTAGGCTGTCACAACCCACCTATCGCCTTGGAAAGGAGCAGTTCCATGCCAAAGAGTACCATCAAATGCAAGGGGTTGGTCGCGAGTGTCAACCAAGCAAAAGTTGAGGCTGCGATTCAACTCCTCAACGAAATGCGAGTGGCCGCCAGACTCGGATTCCAAAAGGAGGCCGCCACCTGTGAATGAACCGAGTGTAACAGTGTAGTTCAAGGTGTTCGCTTCATTTGTCGAGTCTCGATGTAATCGTAGGAGTTCATCATGCGAAATGCATATCGAGCTCCATGTACCTAGTGGAAAAAGCATGGAGAGCCAGGAGTTCAAGCGACATAGCACATTTCTGTATTGGAAGGTTGCATCTGTCAAACCCAATCGCACAGACTGGCTAAATGCACCGAGGTTGTAGTAGGCAGCAATGGGAGAGGTGCTGGAAATGGCATGGGACCTCCATTTCGTCATGCCCTCAAGAAATGTACTCTGCAGGATCTCCAACATCTCCGACGATGAGGTAGAAACTGCAGGTGAGGGAAAGTCCTGCCCAGATGCATCTCCCTCGGCGACATCCGGGCCCCTTCAAGGCTTACGCAAGTAAGCTGGATGATTCTTGCCACATGGCTTGCCATTGACATCGATGGCACAGCCGTGGACGAATGTACAATCCTCAAGCTTGCAGCCAGATCTGAGATTCCAGCGCTTACACATCTGCTTCTGAACCCCCGCCTCCATGAATGAAATGCACCACTTGGAGCCATCTGTCTTGGTTTTAAGCTTGCCCTTGCCCTTGCCCTTGTTGTCCCTGCCCTTACCATTGCGATCTGTAAAGGTAGGTGGACCAGGGGGCTTTAACGGAGGACGGGGTTTGGCCGGCATAGCTCGTGGCTGCAAATGAATATGTAGGATACACCTGGCTTGCACCACTTCGTGTATGGCATCGTCGAGAGTCCAACCAGAGTTGGCCAAATCGCAAATGCATCGCCAGGCTTCTTTGTCAGCCAACTGCATTTCATGCACATTCGGTGAGCGAAGACCTGAGTCCCCGGCCTGTTTCTGAAATGCAAGCTTGAGAAACAATTTGCTGTATGACCTGAAAGACGACAGGTGTGCAGCCTCAAGGAGACAGAATGCAAAGGCAACCAGGTCGAGCAAATGCAACAAAAACATCTGGCTGATGCCAGATTCTGGTATCTCACGAAATGGAACTTCATCAAAGATAAAGTCGTCGAACCTGGCAATCTTGCGAGGGCGATTGGAATGCATGTCTTCGAGCTTTTCTTCGCTAGTGCGATGCTTCCACGCCACATAGCTATAGTGTTTCTCTTGACACTGTTTGTTGACTGTCGCCAAAAGACGAGAGGAAGGCATTGTCGACGGGTCCAGAATCTCCGATGGATAATCGGCTTCGAATTTTTGTCTTCAATGCACTGACCTTCTCATGTCCCAGCTTCGCTGGGAAAGTGTCTGTCCATGTGGATGAAGCTGAGAGCGACGATGGAGGGGATTGTGTAGATGGACTCTGGGATGCAGACACAGAGACCACACTTGTCAAGCAGCGGTGGTATGCAGCTTTCAGGCATGCAATGCATACTGGATTCAAAGCTGCATGCAATGTACCAGGGACTGCATCCCGAATGGCCTCCTCCAGCTGATCGGCACTGGATGTAAGGCAGGCAAAACTGTTAATCGTGAGGATTCGCGAAAGTTGGGTTGAGAGCTCGGCTGGCACCTTCTCCTGCTTAAAAATGTTCTCCAAGGTGGACATAATCGATCTGGGCCAGGGCGCAGAAAAGCAGCTGCCAGGATAACTGGAAAACAGAATCCACCGAGAGCAATTGCGAGGCAGCGGGTGTGCAGCCTAAGTAAATGAGATGTGATCATTCGCCTGATGTGCCAGAGTGTCAGACGCAATGCAACATGTGCTCATGTTACCATGCTCTCTGAGTTTGAGCTGCAGAAATTCAGCAACAAGAGAGTGCAATCGCCATGCACATGCAATGCAGACCTACGGTCAAAATCAGCAAAGGACTGACAAGCGATCAGTCAGATGCAATCGCCAAGTGCATCAAAAGAGAGGCAGATGCAAGCTCACTCGTGATGTTTTCGGCACCCTCGCATCGAAGGGATTTCGAGTTTGCCCAAGGGTCTCGCATGCAGACCAAGGCAGTTCTTAAAATGTTCGGGCCACCGATCCCGATGGAGAAGATACAAATGGAGACGACCTCGCCAAGCCGGGGTCCTCCATGGAAAAGCAATGTAGGCAGGTGCATCACCTCCAACTCCAGCTGCTGTAGCCCTGGTTCCAGTTCCAGTCCGAATCCCACTGGGAATGCCACGACTCCGCATCGTCGCTGTCCTTGTTGTCCTGTGGAGTGGAAACGAAGCGGTTCCGATAATGTTCTTTGCAGAGGTGGCGTGTAGTGGAATGCTGTGCAAAGTGAGAATCGTATGGAATCTCACTGTTGTATCCACAAAGCGCCTGGCAGCCCGGGTGCTGGCAGGAAGCACGACAACAGTTAAGTTGTCGAATGCTCATTGGAACTGTCTTGGAGTCCAATGGAACCTTCGGGGTAGGATCGTCGACAAGGTCCAGCTTTGGCCTTGTCGTGCTACCCGGGCCAGGGGTAGCTGTGGAAGTGGACCCCGATGGAGAGCTGGAAGGCGGCGCCGTAGAATCAGCAGTGGAGGTGGAAGGCAATGTAGGATCCACCTGCTGCTTCGCCGAATCTTTCGTGGGGTCCGAAGGCATAGTGTAGGTCGGCTCTGTGGATGTAGAGTTGTCTGTCCGACCCACCGAGGGATCTTTCCCCTTTCCAGCTCCTTTGGGATGGCCTTTCTCGCCCGAGCTGAGTCGGTGGATAACGTAAGTGCCATTAATAGTTTCGAGCGGCCTTCGTTCGGTCCTGCTCGGATCACCGTAGCCACCTGTTGGGTGTCCGTATTGTAAATGAACTGGAGGGCTTGCCGAAGTTCGGCCGGGTCTCGAATGTTATCCATTGCTTTCCCAAAAGGCAACGAAAAATTGTGGCAAGTGCACCGGGAGCGAAGAAACTCAATGTACAACCCAATGCAAGTGGAATGTAGAGAGTCTGCTGAAACTTGTCAAGCTCGAAGTGAAGAGTGCAGTAAAGTCAATGTATCTGACAGCTCACAGACTGGAGATGTCATGCTCAACCACGTGTTTGCCTGAAACCCAGAAAGTCGGCAGATGCAAGCCAATCGCACGTCAATCAATGGACATGGAGAAACATGTCTGCACCGGGCAAAAAAACCCTCAATGCAACAAGCAAAGGCAGATGCAAGCACTTTTATGAATGGATGACAAGGCAGTCACCAGCCTAATCCAGGGCTGCAAATAATGCAGCACATGCACGTGCTCGGCATAGTCGAGCTTTCCCAGAGGGATGGGTGATCACCCGAAATGTCCCTCTGCAATTGCAAGCTGGCTTGCCGTGAATGGATGCATGCAAAACATCCGAAGTTTCTGCACACAGGAATGCAACCTCATCCGCAGGGCCTATGGAACCATGGAGTGAACCTTCCGATTCAGATGTCTCCTCCTCAAGTGGAGTGTCGCCTGGTGTAAAAGTCTCGAGTTTGCATTCAAGAACTGGCTCGGTGCTGCACTCTGCCGAGGGTGCAACCGTAGACTGACTTCCATGGCCTGATCCGGGCAGCGCAGGGTCACATCCGAGCCAACCAACCAATGCAGAGGCACCAGTCGTCGACGAAGTCGAAGCCCGCACTGTCCCTGGGTATGAGACATGGAAAAAGGGGAGCGAAGCAATGTAAGGCACCCACCCCAGATCATCAGAGGCCAAGTCCACCTCAAGCTCAGATGCAACATATGAAACACCACGAAGAACTGGTGTACGAGGGCGCCAGCCAGAATGTACTTGCTCGACGAATGAAAATTGAGTTGTCAATATGCAATGTCATCGCGACCGTATAATGTGCTTGAGGGGGCAAAGACATGGTGGCCTTGTAGATGCCAGGCCTCCAATGAAAAATCAGCCTGCCTCCAAAATGCAAGCAAGGTGACCTTCATCGAGTGTAGAGTGTATTGCATGCACTGTTCTGGTGGGATTCGGTCCCACTGCAGCAAGAGTTGCCGAAGCTGTGACAAGGTTTCTGCATAGGACATCGGCCTGACTTCTCCGGTCGTCAATGACAGAAAAATGTAATCAGGAAAATCCGATGTATCCCTGCATAAAGTAACATGAGAGGTCATGGTTCGCAGCCAATGGAACACCCAGCACTCAGCACTGATGTAGTGGCATTTTACAGAGGCCGCTAACAAGACATCCAAATGGCATGTATCGCTTAGTCTTGGTACGATAGGCCACTCCTCGGATGCTGTCAGCATCAATGTAAAGGTCCTGCAAATGTAGATGCTGTGCATCACCAAACCTCAAGCTGCTCCAGATACACAAAAGCACCGCGCCGGCGAACAATGCATCCTGAGGAGAGAAACGACCCAGCAGAATGGAAGCCTCAAGCCAATGTAAAAACGCAAGGAGCAGTGGAACTGCCTCCCTTTTGGAGGTCGTCGAATGCCAAGATTTCGAATGAAATAAACCATCATGCAAGGAAGGGAATGAGTCTGGTTTCACAGTAGAAGAAAACCATCGCAATGCCTTAAGGACATTGGTCGAATGGACTGAGGCCGCACGACTTCGTGAATGTTGGAAAACATGTATAGCATCCAGCAACTGAACTTGCGAAATGGAGTCCACCAGCAATTGGAGGTCACAGATAGTCGTAAAAAGACCCCACAAGACAGCAATGTATCTCAGTGCAGTAGTATCTGATACTCGTCTCAAGAGCTGCTCCAGCAATGCAGCCGAGTTGGGGCTGGCCAGCACCTCGCGAAGCAATGACGAAATACCTGATGTAAGCAAGCAAAGCTCCTTCCACAGTGTAAGTGCCTTGCTCGACTGCCCAGAATGTATAGCTGACTGCTTCACTGTCTTCTTGGGTCCGGACTCAAGAGGAGGTTCCGAGGCTGCCACCCACGTTTAACCTGCAGTCCACCAACCTTGCGAGGTGGAAATGTAGCCGGTGGCAGTAGAGGAGTACTGGACTCCTGTGCAACGCAAGGGGAGGCAGCCTTGGAAATAGCCCCTTGCTCCGATGCAAGCTGTCGCGATACTTCTGAGGGGTAGGCAGCATAATGTCCCCTCGGTCGAGGCTCGAAGGGCAGGAGGTGAGGGTCGGGCCTCGAACATAAACTGTCCCTCGAAGAATGCAGGCGCAAGCTCTTGGGTCGCGAAGTGTAATGCTTCCAAGCTGAGGGTCTCGCTTTGGGTGCAGGACGAGGTCCCCCACTCTGCAATGGACTCGAGGGCTGCAGAGGTGCCTCAAGATGCTCAGTGAAAAGCGGTCGCCGCATCAAGGGAGAAAAAGACAATGCAGAAGGTTGTGAATCCTGCAAGTATGGCAGGGCTGTTCGGTCGGCACCACTATTCAACGAAAATAGCTCGCCAGAATGAACCTCGCTCCACGAGGAGTCTGTAGCCAGCTGAGCTGAGGGCCACTCCTCTTCCAAGGGTGGCTCTGAATGCACTGAAAGGTCAGTGTCATAAGGCTGCGGCAAATTGTCAGGATCAACAATGGAAACATCGTCATCACCATCCGAAATGACAGATGCATCCACAAGCTGTTCAGCCTCATGACATGTTGCAGCACTGACCAGTGTAGTAGGCTCCGGGCTATCATGAGTCGGCGAAGGGATCGGAGCTGATACTGGATTGTCACTGCCAGAAGCAAAACTCGACAATGCATGTTGGAGAGGGTCTTCAACAAACTCCTGGGCAGGTGTCGCCTGCAATGAAGAAACTGGCAAATGTTTCTTCTGGAATCGCTTGACAACAATG